ACCGTTCAGATGCCATTTAATTGTCGTTATTAATTGAATAAGTTGACACTACGTCCATATCGTCTAATATTGATAATAAGAACGTTTTAAAGAATATTAGCAATTTCAATTTCTACAAGGGTAAGCATCTATGTAATTCACCAAAAACGCATGCAGAATTTTGAAGTAATTAGGCTAGGGAGCTTCAAGTAAACAATCTTTCAAATTTTGTCAAAAATTGAAGATAAAAATGAATTAGTCGTGAAGGAATATTATCCCCTCCAAATTAAGTTAAATATCTTGATCAGTACATTAAGGATGCTTAATTTTCAAGTGTGCAGAAAGAATGAGTGAAGCACAAATATCTCAAGTGCAGATTTAAAGATCATGCTTAATTCAGCATGTAGTAGAGGTTCGACATCAACGACATGCTAAAAACTTAAAGGTCGTTTTCGGGTGGATGCTATATTAATGGAAGAGATTGAATCTCTACATGTGGTTGATAGACCATCACTCCTATTCTTGTGCTCCTGGGGTTGAGGTACTCGGTTAGGAGTAAGATTCTCTCCCCTCCTATTCTCATCAAGCAGCAAGTATCACATCCATTTTCAAAGAAGCACCTTCGGCATCGTCTTCTATCCGCAAAGTTCAATGCTCCACACATCACAGATTTCTCACTCCGATTGTACTTGCAGAATATTTAACCTCACTACTCCCGGCCAAAGCTACTTGTGTCGTTCATTGGGAATCAAACAAAATATTTAAGTCGGGTTTGTTATCCCATGGTCAAGAACACAAGTCTTAGTAAAAGTAAACACATCATGACAGGAAGATACATCCATCCAATGTGATAGAGGAAAAGGAATGGAAATTGCCCAAGTGATGCTTCAGCTCAAGTCCTTTCTATGCAAAGACTTTGAACAAACCCTGGCTGACTCTTCTTGTTTACCTTTCCTTGTTTGTTTTTGCACACCATTGTCACCCCTATTGTACGTCCACCATGTATGGACTTGTAAATAAGTTGCGCTATTCTCCATATTGCCAATTGGTTTTATGGTAGAACATCAACTTTTTTTAGGAGATTCGCCAACGATCTACATTCCGGTGAAAGATATCACCATGTGGCTATTCCGGCAGCATATTCGATCACTATGATAAACGAAATTGGAATGGAGATACTAAAACAATTTCTCCTTTAGAAGCACACCAAGCAGTTGGTATCACATCCATATCCAAAGCACCACCTTCAATGTTGTCGTCCTCCGTCCGCCAAGTGCCATACACCACAACACATCATTCTAGCTCCGATTTTACTTACAGAGTAGAAGCTGCTCATAAAGCTGATGCTAATAACTTTGGTTAGCACAAAAGTCGTTCTTTTCTACATCAAAGGCCAACGCTGATCTGAAGAATTTTATGATGATGTGACAATAAACACACAAGCAAATAATAAGAGATTTTACTGTCTCTCCAGAAAGGTGGTATTATTTCTCCAACCACATCCTCTAATTGAATTGACAAGAACCACGTACTACGCCAAGAAGATACACATCGAGTGACTCATTCTTCACCGCACAAAGACATTGTGTAGACTTGTAGCTAAGCAAGATATTTAAAGTGATCATTCACAGACATACAATGCTAATAGCAGTGTAAACGGCCTCATCAAGAGACTCCAAATTCCAGTGAGAAAATGAGTTAAACAGGCAACACCTCACCCTTTCTATGTTTTTCTTACAATCATGAACAACCCTATCAGCAAACACCCTAATAAAACTCTCACTCCTCTTCTCCTTCCCCTTTTTTTCCACATGATAACCATGTGCATGGCCGTGGACTCGCCGCCAATCTACCGTCCGTCTGAACAAATCACCCTTCAATGTGGCTCTTCCGGTACCAAATTCGGCCAAGACTCCCGATATTGGGATGGAGATATTGACACATCTTTTTTTCCATTCGGAGCAGCTGGTAACAAATCCATATTCAAAGAAGCACCTTCTCCCTCTTCTTCCGGCCAAGTGCCTTACAGCACAGCAAGGCTTTCCCGCTTTGAATTTACCTACACATTTCCACTCTCTTCCGGCCCAAAGTTCATCCGCTTGTATTTCTACCCAGCATCATACGCCCCCAACTTCAACCGATCCCAAGCCCTCTTCTCAGTCAAAGCCGGTGGCTTTACCCTTCTCCACGACTTCAACGCTTCAGCCACGGCTGATGCTTCTGCCTCGGATACTATATACAGAGAGTTCTGCCTCCACACCGACTCAGGACAGAATTTGAGTATCACGTTCACTCCAAGCAAAGCAAGCCCAGATGCCTACGCGTTTATCAATGGGATTGAAATTATCTCCATGCCCCCATATCTTTACTACACTTCACCCCAGAGCCCAGTTGGGGTTGCTTATGTAGGCAGCAAAAACACGATTCGCATCGAGAACAACACTGCTCTGGAGATGGTGTACCGAATCAATATCGGTGACAAAAGGCGGATCTATTCCGATCAGGACACTGGTATGTACCGCAATTGGGATAGTTTGGGAGACGAGTACAACTACTTAGACGATTTAAGTAGGAAGTTTAGTGTTTTACCACAGAACAGTAGCGTTCAGCTTGACTTTTCTGCAATACCAGAGTACTCTGCTCCGAAAGAAGTTTACCAAACCGGCCGCTCAATGGGCATGAACAAGACCATAAACAAGAGCTACAATCTCACCTGGGAATTCCCTGTGGATTCAATGTTTGCTTACTTGGTTAGGCTTCATTTTTGTGAGTTTGAAGGTGATGTTACGATGCCCCAAGACAGGCTATTTCATATCTACATCTCCAATCAATCCGTTGAGCAAATGGCAGATATAATCATGTGGAGCGGTGGAAATGGAAGACCAGTGTACAGAGACTACGTTGTGTTCATGTCGGGGAACCCTGCAATCCCAAAGAAAGTCAATCTCTTTCTTGCGCTGGAAGCAAGCAAGCAGGATTGGTTGACTAATTACAACGACGCAATCTTGAACGGACTCGAAATGTTCAAACTCAGTACAAATCAGAATCTCGCCAGACAAAGCCCCGACCCACCTCCTATAGCCCCAACAAGGGGGACATCAAACCCAAGCACCAGGTCAAGAACTCCTTTGCTTGCCACGGTCATTGGTGTAGCTTCCGGCATACTTGGACTCTCTGTTCTTGGGTTCTTGGTTTTTAGGCGGTGGCAGAAAGTCAAGGACATTGGCTCAGATGGGTCCTCATCTTTACCACCACATTTGTGTCGTTGCTTTTCACTGTCGGAGATCAAAGCCGCCACCCAAAACTTCAGCCAGGGTTTCATTGTTGGTGTTGGCGGCTTTGGTCACGTGTACAAAGGGCATATCGACGGCGGGGCCACTCCCGTTGCGATCAAACGGCTGAAACCCGAGTCAAAGCAGGGAGCCCGTGAGTTCAAGACGGAAATCGAACTGCTCTCACAACTCAGACACCGCCATTTGGTATCTCTCATTGGGTATTGTACTGATAAAAATGAGATGATTTTGGTGTACGATTACATGTCACATGGGACACTCGCTGACCATCTCTACCACAACGACAACCCACCTCTCTCCTGGGGACAACGGCTCCAAATTTGCATTGGGGCCGCGCGAGGGTTGCGCTACCTTCACAGCAATGCGCAGGGCACTATCATCCACCGTGACGTGAAGAGCACAAACATTTTATTGGATGAGAAATGGGTGGCCAAGGTTTCGGATTTTGGATTGTCGAAAATGGGCACGACCACCATGTCCAAGACCCACATTAGCACGGCCGTGAAAGGCAGTTTCGGTTATCTAGACCCGGAATACTACCGACGTCAAAAACTAACGGTGAAGTCCGATGTGTACTCATTCGGTGTAGTGTTGTGTGAAGTACTGTGCTCAAGACCAGCTGTGGTGCATGCAGTGGAGACAAGGCAAATGAACTTGGCTGAATGGGCCAAGAGCTGCCATCGCGACAGGGAACTTGATCAAATTATTGATCCGAACATGAAGGGTAAGATTGAAACCGAGTGTTTGAACAAGTTTGTGGAAATTGCTATGAGTTGCATCAATGATAATGGGATAGAGCGGCCGACAATGAACGATGTTGTGAGGGGGCTTGAGTTTGCATTGCAACTACATCAGAAGTGCGGTGAAAGGAACGACGAGGATGACTTGGCTAGTGTGCCAGGTTGCGCTACGAATGAATCCGTTCAGTGCATATCCGGGACGATCTTCTCAGAAATCAACAATTCGAATGGGAGATGATGAGCCAAATTAAGAGCACTCAAGTAGACTAAGAACCGGCTATATGGGTTCTCCAGTAGGTTGTACAGATTGAACAAACTGTAAACAAAATGCTTCATCTGGACTTCCAGACTTTGTAACAACATTGCAGATAACAGTGAATATGCACTCAAAGATCTGGAAGGAAACAAACATACATGAATTTGTGTATGATGAGCATTGACAAAACCGTTAGGATGGATTAAAACACTCATTCTCTTTTTATTTAAAGTATTCAATTCAACGACTAGAAGTATCGAGTAGTAAGTACAAGTAAAATTGTGCGATTATCGTTTCTCGTATTTTGCTTATTTACCAGATTGTTGTCAAATACTCATGTTATAGCATGTCAAATTAAGATACTACCACTTTACGATCCAAATTTAAGAACAGACTCATGTGGTAATACAAATTCACTTATGTTATAACACGTAAATTAATAACACTACGTAACAATTTGAACATTGTACAAAAAGTTTCTCCACTTGCCCATTGATTTAGGACCCGATGCAACTTTGGGCAACTATTAAACATCAAAATCATTGGGGACAAGGTTTATTAAACAAGGTGTTAGGTCACATCGTCACAGGATACTGCTAATCCGCTTATGTTATAGCATGTGAATTAATAACACTGCAGTCTGACCGTCACAGTAAACAATTTCTCCCACAAGAAGAATATCCGAAACTTGAAACCAAACAATCAATGGTGAATCCATGAACAATTCAAAGCATACCAAAAAAAAATCTCATCTATTTAACTCTTAAGGTCTTCTGGTTACAGCCACTAGACACTACAACTATGCTGGAAAAATAATTAATTAAAAAAGCAGCACTAAAACTAAGCAAACCCCATCACAGGAATCTCAAAAGCTTCTGGTAAAACGAGAAGACCTCAAGTTTCTGGTAAAAATAATCCTAAACCTACAGCAAAATGCCTCTTCATCTCATTACCACAATGTCAGTCTTAGCTTTTCACTCATTAGATTATGATTAAACTACTTACCATCAACACTTCCGAGCGGGCCAATCACGAAACCAATCTTGTTGAAATATTCCCGCAAAAAATTCCCGATGCATGTTAAACAGCATTCTGGTTTGCTTCACTTGAGTGTCCGCCCCTCCCTCGTGCCTGATAACCATATCCACTGCGTCCGGCTGGTCCACCCCTGCCTCGGCCTGAGAATTCGCCCCTTCTCACATATTCGTTTCTGCCAAAGCTCCGGCCACCGCCATAGTTCCCACGGCCTCTAAAGCTGTCATTTCGGAACCCACCCCTTCCAGCAGGAGGAAATCTACCTCTTTCACTGCTACCAACTGGAAACACAAGCATTCTTCTTGCATGAGCTTTTCAAATATCTTCAGATGACACATTCTATTGAATTAGTGAAGGATAACAGCATAGATTGTATGTCCACTTACCTCGAGTGGTAGTTCTCTTTATCTCAATGACAGCTTGACGGCCACCAATAGTGATTGGTGAAGCCTAAAACATTAGGTTCTCTTATTAGATACACGAGAAACCCAATCAAACATCAGAAATAATATAAACGAAACATGAATGAAGTTCTACAGGCACTCCTGGAAACATGAAACTATGACAACTCAAACTACATGCACTTAGAGCTTAAACTAACATGCTGCGAAGATTGTATTACCCATCAGCTACGGTGAAAGAACATCTAAACTTGATTGAACAGAGTACCGAAATACAAGGCCAATAAGAAGATGATAAGAAATAATTCCCATATCCTATTCATACTGTTCAAATCAGTCTGACTTGATTTTCACGAGGGAGAGCAATCAAAAGTTAGAATCATAGAAATTAATAATACTGCATCCAGATTCTATAGAAAATCATATTTCAAAGAACGCAAAATAACCTACCTGAATGGCACTATTCATGGAACTTGAAGACTCGAACTCAACAAATCCAAAACAGTGGCCCTGGAGCTGCACACACACAAAATAACATGCAAGGGGTGATAAATATATCAGAAAATCCAGAGCCGAGCGGGAGATACTTTTGGGATGCAAAAACACTAACTTTCTTATTTCGGACTTGGACGCCTCCTTGCTTTATTGGTCCAAATTTCTTGAATTCTTCCTGAAGCTGATCAGTCGTCACGTTTAAGGGCAAATTCCTTATGTAAATAGAATAGCCCTCAACTATAACAAATGCAATTGTTTCATTACAGAAACAAGATAAAACGATTAAATTTAGATAAATGCAAATTTACAAAATATATTTTAGTTTTATGAAGATTTTCAAAAGGAAACTTGCAAATATAAAGAGAAGAAAAAAGGGGAAAAAGTCAGAAAAGCCAAGCATACCTTCCTCATTAGTATCACTACTCTCTAAGGCACTAGTGCTAGTTGGGGCTGATTCTTCAGGCACAGAAGCAGGTGCAGTTGGCCCAGGCAAATTAGTTTCCGCTTTCTTAGAAGCCACTCTTACAGTATTAGTAGGCACATAAACCTTACTTGGTCCCGGACTCCCTTTAGGAACTTTAACCTACAAGAAAATTTGATTAACTTTTGTAACTATTTAAGAAAAATTCTGCCTAAAATGGAAAAATTTGTTCCCCTTAACTCACAATTGATGCATACGACTTCTTCGAACTATCCTCTTGGGCTGTCGTAGAAGCCAGCTCAACTGCCACAGTGACATCGTTCCCATTTGAATAAGACGGGGGTTCTATGTCAGATTCTGTAGTGTATTGTCTCTCATGGTCTGATGTGTCATAAGTTTTCTCAACAATAATTGGATTCTCTTCAACTTGAGTAGTTTCCAGATCAGGTGCAGGAGGATCAGGAACATGAGTTGGCTCTGCAAACAAATAATAGGAAGTGTAAACAAGTTCCTGCTGCAATACCAAAACTAGAGTAACAAAAAAGAACAGAAAATGTAAGATATGATTACCTGGATCCTGGCTTGAGAGGATTGTTGCAGCATCATTAACTTCATTAACTGAATGGTTTTCTAAAAGATCTCCATCTTCCACAAATCTAAAGACATCATTCAATACAAAGAACCCATTGTCTTGAGGGGCAAGAAAAAATGATTGGGCGAATTTCCTTTTCAAGTTATCCTTGCCTGTTAAACATCCAGTAACTAACACAGTCACCCCATCTTCATAAGACTTCTGAGCATCAGCAGTCTTTATCTCAGCCTTATATTTGTTGTAATTTAAGGAAAGGATCTTCTCATTGATTCCCTGCTCGAAGAAAACATTGACAGAAAATAAGACTGATGACCTTGAGAATTTGAGAGCATGGCAGAGTCATACAGGATTGAACATTCAAATAAGTATTTAAAAAAGGCCAAAAAAGCAACAGATCAAACTTAAAGGGACCACGCGCAAATGATCAGGTAAGCAATCAATGTGCTTCAATAGTTCGGCAGACCATACGGTATCCAAATCAACAAACATAAAAGAACTGCCTATATCAAGCGCCAACATGCATTTGTTTATTAATGTACTCTTTGATGGTTTTAGCACATTTTTCAACAAATGTTCCTTACAAAAGGTAGAACCAAGTAATAGACCATTGGTACTTACTTGCATAGTGGTCACTGATGTCATCACACCATTGGAATCAGGCCGGCTTAGTATACTTGAATCCTGATAAAACCGATGGACCAGGCCTGGGTTATTATGAAGAATATGGTAATACTGCTCAATGAAAGCATTTCCAACAAGTTGGGCACTAGGAGTGGGTCGAGAAATTGCATTCTGCAAGGCCATTCTGCGCAAAAAAATCCAGAAATAAAATACCACTAAACAATTGTTCATATCTCATTAAACCAATCATTAAGATAACTAATTCAAAACCACAAGGGGTAGTGAGTAAGAGATATGAAGAAACCTTCAGAAAATTCCATAAATTAAACATAGAAATAGGCACCTATAATGTATCAAAGGTACTAAAGAACCCGTGCTGAAGACTAATCCTTCTTTCGAAGAAAGAAAGAAAAGAAAATGCCAAAAGTAAAGTGATAACTGCCAATAGATAGTAGGAACTAAGAACTTGGCGACCAATTTCGATTACATTGTATGGACACAAAACACGAAGGAGCTAGCGATATAAAATACAACTTTCTTATAAAGAAAACCGAAGAGCCAATCGCAGAGAGAGCTGAAACCACCACATTCTGAGAAAGGCCCTACAATCACCATAAATTACAACCATTTTCCACAAAAACGAGAACCTCATATCTGCTCAGTGAGCACTGAAAATTTAGGCAAATTTCAACATTTGGGGGAACAAACTGATAAAACCTAAATCCTCAGAAGCAGCAGACCCACATTACCTGGATCCAAACCCAGCAAACCTCAAGAACTAAACCCTAAAACCAACCTCATACCCCAAAATAAACAAAACCCATCTCACAAAACCAGAGAAATTGACAAATCAATCAATAACCCGCCCAACATTCACACCCACCGAGCATAAAATCACAAAATTAACTCGATTAATCCTCCAATTAGGGCAATGCTCGATCACAGAAACTAGTAAAAATCCGAGCAATAATTCGATTCAAATAACAGAAAGAAAAAAAAAAGCTTCATGAAATCCAAAATACAACCTTGAAAATCATACGGTAATTAAAGTTAGATGGAATAATCAGAGAAATGAAAGCGAATAGAAGTTACCCTTTTGTGGGAATGCTATATTGGTTTGGGAGAGACAGAGCTTTGGGGACGGTGGAGATGGTAGGGTACCTTCCGCCAAACAAGAGTGAGCGAGTGAGACAGACTGAGAGCGAACGAGCGAGAGAGAGAGACAGAGAGAGCGAGAGAGAGAGGGACAGCCGAACAGTTAGCGCACGATAAAAAGGAAGAGTCTTTGGTAGACGCCAACAACCAACCCTGATGCAAATTCACACTTTGGGTTTGGAGTGCCCAGAATGGTTCAAGTATAACTCTTTTACACTTTTCGAACATTTTTATTTTTACTTTTTAGAAATTAGGGTTTTGGTCGTCCAATTAGAAATTTCTTCGATGCTACGTACCATTGAAAATAAAAGAGTCTTAAGGGTGAAGCTTCATCTATCAAATTCGTGCATCAAATTATATGACACAAACGCCGAAATAGTTATTAAGGTTATTAAACGAAAAAAAAGATAAAGAGTGAAAAGATGCAAAATGAATACATTTTTTTTTTCTTCTTTTTGAGATGGTAAATTTTAATATTATAAAAAAAGTGCCTATAATAATTCTCATGTTGAAAACATTGGCAATGTTGAAACCGTTGGCAGTTTAATGAATGCCCGCATAGATTTTCAATACCCACACAAAGTGATGTAGACTTTGGAAATAAAGGAGATCGTATTTTCAAAGTCATGTGCTGTAAATTTCAAAATGTAAGAATATGTTTGTATGGAGTTGCTCTATAAATAGAGCGCTCCGACTGCTATCAAAACATACAGAGAAAAATGAAAGATAAATAACATCATTATCTATCCCTCCATCTTTTATTTTTCATCCCCTTGTGTTATAGGTACAGTGTGATATTTTACATCTACTTCGTTCCTGTCACTAGTAAAGGTTATCTCTCTAACTTTTACTTATTTATAACATCTCAATTGTTTTTGTTTACTAAATCTTCCATTAACGTATTCAAGGTCCGGTGGTTAGGGCATTTTTTTTCACTAATTCTCAATTAGTGTAAAAGGGCTTTATACTAATTCTCAATTAGTGTAAAATAGGATTTGTAATAAAAAAATATTATTAATAGGAATTAGGATTTTGAAAGCTTTTAAATATTGGTTTTAGAGTTGGATGTTTTGTTAACTTAGTTTACTACACATGTATGTAAAGGTTCTAAAAAATGTTAGTTGTTAATCAAGCGGCTCGTTGAATTTGGCAACTAAGCAAAGACTAAGCAGGGGCGAACTAGACATATTCAAGTAAATTGATACCAATTCATAACAAACATAAAAGAAAAACAGAGATTCAACCTGCTCCAAAGAACAAACACCTTCTCTCAGTTGACTAGTACATATGAAATGAGGCTTCAAACTTCAAAGGGTTTCAAGACCTTTGGCATATAGAGATGCAAAAGCCTCCATATGATGTTTTTCCAAAACCAACCCAATGTCAACAGCGCCACCACCGTTCTTGCCATCTGAAAAAGTGATCGCTCCGGTGCCATTTTTTCGAAACACTTCAGTACTCCTCGGCCTTCTCCATCCAAAATCAGTGCCACAAATGTCAAACCGATGCGATCCAGTCGTATACACTCTGCGAGGTTCAGCAGCACTACTATTCTGTCCATCAGAGAGGTACAATCTTGAAACCAAATCTTCCGCGCCATTCGAAACACCCCCGTTGTCCAAACCTTTAATGGCTTCACTGATCGCATTTACCGCCACAACCAACCCGTCTTCTCCCAGAAGTCCTTTTCCTTCTGCAACTGTTCGACAGGACGTTACAGAGTTTCCGAAATAGTTTGCAGGTTAAGGAGGGGCTAAGCTTGACCGGCAGTCCACGCTAATAAACATACGTATTTTGTCCCCTTTTATTTCTTCTTCCTCTCCTTGTTCTACTTTTACTAAGCAAACCCATGTGTACGCGCACGTTAGCGAAAACGTTGACATATGAAACGATGGATCACGTTCTTGTTGCTGTTTGTGCTGATCTCTTTCATTCTGGTCATGACATATTTCCGTAAAGCTTGTATCTTCGCGCTTGTGAATTCGAAGCTGCCTCGAAAGGAATTTGGTACCGCTGGAGATTTATAGTGGGCTGCGACCTTCAGGCTTCGATTGTTTTGTCTTCTGTCCATGTTTAGAAACTGGTTCAAATAGATCGCTTCGAGTTGGAGACCGATCGGGTGTTGGATTACGCTTCTGTCATAAAATGGTTTGAGCTGATCCGGTAACCAAATATCATTAGATTGATGAAATTGTTTGCATATGTGAGCCCATGATTTCAGAAACAAGAAGAGAGTGTTGCCGTCGAGAGCTGCATGGTGCATCGATATGCCAAGGAAAAGCCGCCGCTGTTGGGAAAGATGGTGATTTGCAACGCCATAACGGCTGCTTTTTCATGAGATACGGCCAGTTGGGGTACAAAAGGATGGTATTCTTTGGGTTCGATTTTAAAGTCATTGCTTGTGAGGTGGTGGAAATCGACATCAGAATCGGCTACTGTGAGCGAAAGGGTGTCGCCTTGGACGTAATTGAGGGTGGGTTTGGGGGAGTTTTCGGGCCACGTGATGTTTCCCGCTAGAGGTAGAAAATGTTGGAGGGTGATAGAGAGCGAGTTTTCGAGTTTTGGAATAATTGTTGAATGAAAGAAGAGTGAAGTGTCTGCAGGTGAAGAGCAAGGCAATATTTCATAGAAGAAAAGGCGATGGAAGGGTGGAAACCTTATCCATAGGAGGTCGAAGAAGGTTAGCGGAAGAGACCACTCGTGAAGTATTAGTTCGGTGCGTGATTGACTTGCGATACGGCTGAAACGGTACCATCTTTGTCGCAGGTAGGATTCTCTCCTTGAGATGAGATTGTTGAGTTTGATGAGCCAGGTTTTGGTTGTGGAGCTACTTTACAAACTTCAACGACTTTCACCGAGTTATTTGGGTCTGTCATTGGACTGTTGAGGTGGAATTTGAAATCATATTAAGAACTTTATTAATGAAATGTTTATCTGATGATGATCAGAATTCAGAGGACTTCCTAACCCTTATATAATGGAATTTCTGGGACAAGTGTAATCTAGTAGTTAGTAGATTAATAACTCAGCCACCGATTCAAGACAAAAAAATATATATGTGGGCACCCATTAAAGAAAAAGAATAGCAACGTAGCCAGAATTTGATCAAAAGTCAGACTTTTACATTATATGGTTGGTGCTAATCTGAGAGAATGTGAAGGAAAGAAGTCTCATAACATTAACTAAGCGGACTAGGCATATAGCATATTTAAGTAAATTTATACCGATTCGTCCGAAGACGTGTCATGACTTGTCTTTGACATGCCAATAACAAGTCAAGACTCGCAAAATGTCGATCATAGCATGCCAAAATTTCGAAACAGAGGTTCGTGCTCCAAAGAACATCGTCATCACAATATTAACCATGAAAAGGAAGCATACAATTTTTCAGTTGACCAGTACACATGAAATGAGGGTTCAAGCTTCAAAGGGTTTCAAGACCCTTGGCAAATAGAGAAGCAAATGCCTCCATATGATGTTTTTCCAAAACCACCCCAATGTCAACAGCGCCACCACCGTTCTTGCCATCTGCAAAAGTGATCGCTCCGGTACTATTTTTCCGAACCACTTCGGTACTCCTCGGCCTTCCCCATCCAAAATCAGTGCCATACATGTCAAACCGATGCGATCCAGCGGTCGTGAATACTGTGCGAGGATCAGATGTACTCTTCTGTTCATCAGAGAGGTACAATCGTGAAACCAAATCTTCCACGCCATTCAAAACCCCGTTGTCCAAACCTTTAATGGCTTCACTGATCGCAATTATCGCCATAACCAACCCGTCTTCTCCCAAAAGTCCTTTTCTTTCTGCAACTGTTAGGTAGGCCGTGACTATGTTTCCGAAAAAGTTTGCAGGTAAAGGAGGGGCTAAGCGTGACCGGCAGTCCACGCTAATAAACAAAGGTATCTTGTCCCCTTTTATTTCTTCTTCCTCCCCTTGTTCTGCTTTTACTAAGCAAACCCATGTGTAAGCGCACGTTAGCGAAAAAGTTGACATATGAACCGATGGATCACGTTCTTGTTGTTGGTTGGTGGTGATCTCTTTCATTCTGGTCGTGACCCTTTTCCGTAAAGCTTGTATGTTCGCGCTTGTGAATTCGAAGATGCCTCGAAAGGAATTCGGTACCACTAGAGATTTATATTGAGCTGCAACCATCAAGCTTCGATTGTTTTGTCTTCCGTCCATGTTTAGAAACTGGTTCAAGTAGATCGCTTCGAGTTGGAGACCGATCGGGTGTTGGATTACGCTTCTGTCATAAAATGGTTTGAGCTGATCAGGTAACAAAATATCATCAGATTGATGAACATGTTTGCATATGTGAGCCCATGATTTCAGAAACAAGAAGAGAGTCTTGCCGTCAATAGCTGCATGGTGCATCGATATGCCAATGGAAAAACCGCCGCTGGGAAAGATGGTGATTTGCAACGCCATCACGGCCGCTTTTTCATGAGATACTGCCAGTTGGGGTACGAGGGGATAGTATTCTTTGGATTCGATTTTAAAGTCATTGCTTGAGAGGTGGTGGAAATCGGCATCAGATTCGGATACCGTGAGCGAAAGGGTGTCACCTTGGACGTAATCGAGGGTGGGTTTGTGGGAGTTCTCGGGCCACGTGATGTTTCCGGCTAGAGGTAGAAAATGTTGGAGGGTGATAGAGAGCGACGTTTTGAGTTTTGGAATAATTGTTGAATGAAAAAAGAGTAAAGTGTCTGCAGGTGAAGAGCATGGCAATATTTCATAGAACAAAAGGCGATGGAAGGGCGGAAACCTTATCCATAGGAGGTCGAAGAGGGTTAGCGGAAGAGACAACTCGTGAGGCACCAGTGTGTGATTGATTTGGAATACTGCTGAAACGGGACCATCTTTGTTGTAGGTAAGATTCTCTACTCCTGATGAGAATGCTGAGTCTGATGAGCCAGGTTTTGTTTGTGGAGCTACCCTACAAACTTCAACGACTTTCAGAGAGTTATTTGGGTCTGTCATAGGACTGTTGAAGTGGAATTTGAAATCAACTTAAGAACCTTTTAATGAAAAATGTTTATCAGATGATGATCAGAATTCAGATTAGGACTTGCTAACCCTATATATAATCGAATTACGGGGACAAGTGGAATCTAGTAGTTAGTAGATAAACACTTCAGCCACCGGTTCAAGAAAAAACAAAAAATATAAATGTGGGCACCCATTCAAGAAAAAGAACAGTAATGTAGCCAGAAGATCAAAAGTCAGACTTTTCATCATATATTTCATTTATAAAGTTGAGCATCTAACAAGTTGCAATATAAAATTATACAAAGCTATCTATATCTTAAACTTAGAAAATTTAAAACAGAACAAAGCAGAAAAGCAAAGGAGGAATAAAACAAAAAGGAAAGAAAACTATAAAATTGTTCTAATGAAATAAAACCATACAAAGATGATCCTGATAGGATGCTGACTGGATACTGACTGGCACTATCAATTGGTTGTTTTGTATGTGAGGACTAGGATGTGAGAATCCGGATCCTCTTTGTGAGGATCTCAGAAATCCGTGAATCATATTCGTTCATGGTCATAAATTATTTCAAATATTTTTATTTAAAATTAAATACAAATAATAACTAACAAAAAATGACCATATGATGTACGATAAACAGACATAATTTACAAATCTCCAGAACCCTCGTCAAAAGCATCAGAAGATGATCCTGTTGTGGATGTGATAAGGTTGGCTAGTTAGGTATGATTAGAGATAAAGATGTTAGTCGGTTTCTTAGTGGTCAAGTGAGCTTGGTTACTGTATTAGGTAAGCTGTAAGAATGGAAGTTTGTTGTTAAGAAAGTAATATTGTAATGAATACACTGTTTTACTGTTAAATTGAGTAAGACGCAAAGCAAGGGTTCTATCAGATTCAGTTTGTGCAAACTTTTAACAGATTGATTATGAAATAATAAGTAATGTTACATTTATCACATATGAAATAAATATTACGATCGAAAACCCACCGCCACACGAACCCTAGACAGATGTACCCAATCACTGTATAAATATTTTAAATATCATATGTACTCAAGACCTTTGGCAAACAGAGAAGCAAAAACATCCATGTGATGTTTTTTCAAAACCAACCCTATCTCAACACCTCCGCCACCATTCTTGCTATCTGCAAGAGAGATCGCTCCGGTCCTGTCTATCGAAACGACGTCTGTCTTCCTCGGCCTTCCCCATCCAAAATCAGTGTCGTAAATCTTAAACCGATGTGAGCCAGCAACGGAAAATTTTGTACGATCTTTGCTACGCACGCCACTGTACAAACTTGAAACCCGATTCTCTGCCCCTTTCAAGACCCCCTCATCCAAACTTTTTATGGCTTCACTAATTGCACTCACAGCCACAACCAAGCCATCTTCTCCCAGTAGCTCTTTTGTCACTGCAATTGCATTACGGCCAGTTAAGCAGTTGCCAAAATAGTTTGCTGGTAGAGGAGGGTCAAAGCGGGACCTACAATCAACACTAAAGAACATGAGTGATACGCCAGCTTTCATCTCCTCAACCTTGACTAAGCAAACCCATGCGTAGGCACATATGAGAGAAAACGTTGACAAGTGAATCGATTGATATTGTTCTTGTTGTTCCTTCTTGGCCATCACCGTTTGCCTTAGGGCTTCAACTTTTGTGCGCGTAACTTGGAACGTGCCTCGAATTAGGTCAAGTGAAACAGGATCTGTACGCTCTTTAGTCATCAAGCTTCTATTGTTGGGTCGGTCCATGTTGAGAAATTGGTTTGAGTAAATCGACGCGAGCCGGGCATGATCCTCGACGACCATTCTGCCGTAAAATGGTTTTAGCTGATTCGGTAACGAATTAGACGTTGAGATTAATCCTCCATGTCTACAGAGGTAAGCCCATGATTTTACAAATAGGGTTGAAGTGTTGCCGTCGAGGACTGCATGGTGCATGGATGTTCCGATAGAAAAGCCGTGGTTAGCAAATAGAGTGATTTGCAATGCCATGGCCGTGGCTTTTTCGTCGGATATTGGCAAATGGGGCACAAGCATCTGGTATTGTTTGGCTTCAACAAAATCATTACTCGAAAGATGGTGGAAATGATCAGCCTGATTAGACTCGGCTATTGTGAGTGAAACGGTGTCGCCTCGGACGTAGCTGAGAATAGGTTTGTGGGAATTTTGAGGCCAAGTGAGGTTTCCTGCTAGAGGTAGAAAGTGTTGGAGGGTGGTAGAGAGGGATGCTTTGAGCTTGGGAAGTATGTGATCGAAGTCGGTGAAAGGAGGGATTTCATAGAAGAATAAGCGTTGAAAAGGTGGAAACCTTAGCCAGAATAAGTCAGAGAAAGTAAGATCAAGAAGGAAGTACTCTTGTGTGCCTTGTTGTTCTGGAGCTACCCTGCAAACCTCAGTTACCTTCAACAGGTTTGGGTCTGCCTCTGCCATTGAAGGGAGAGACGGAAACAAGTGTAATGGCAATGATTTAATGTTTAGTTGGAGATGGAAACAAATAACTTATACAAATATTATATATTATATAAACTAAATCATAAAATCAACTAAAACACTGTTCCTTGAACAGTGTGTCCGCATTTTTGCCCCTATTTGATTTGTTTTTTCATTTCTGCCAAAATCCCAGTTGGTACCTCTCTGTGCGCTACTTCTCATATACACGTGTTGGTGGATGTACACGTGTTGGTAATCCTGGAAAAAAAAACGGAAAAGTTGAGCTTTTCCATTTGCTTCCATAAACCACGGGCTCTCTTGCAGCAGCAACCATTAGCTTTCTTTCGCAGAAACTACGAACCCATCTCGACTTCTCTCTCGGAACCCAGCTCGAGTCCTTGGGTAAAACTCATCTTCTTTCTTGGTTTTTTCTTCTTAGCATCTTACAGTACTCTTTTTTTCTTCATATATCTTTATATTTAGCTGAAATTCTGAGTTGCCGACTCTCTAAACACTATTTTTACTTTCAAAATGCGAAATTGGTTCAAATATTTTTAGGTAGTTGGTGGTATATTTTTTTCTCTCTTTTCCTTTGGGACTAAGAGCATTTCTAATGGTGTCGGCAAAAGAAATAGGAAATTGTATTATAATAGTTAACGCGGTAAGTTCTACTTTGTCTCATAGAAAAAGTGTGTCGCAGGAATGAAATAGGCAAATTTTATTTTATCATCTTATTTTATCTTTGACATCTACTTTTAGCCTTTATTTTAGATTCCTCCACATGAATGCCAAATCGCCGATAATGTTGAAAGTAAGCAACATTGCCAACTTTGTGGGTGTTGAAAAAATTTGCTTATCCAATTGACTAAGCCATTGGAGCATATTTTTGTCTACTTGTTTCTTCAAAAATGGATTTGACTATCCATTTGCTTACTCCATTTGAGAAGAAATTCTTCAACACGGTAAATGGAACAGTGGCCATACTACTCCGCACACCAAATCACCCCTATCCCACCCTCCTGATTTTTTTCATATTCATCCGGCACCGTTTGTGTCATCCTCCCTTCCTCACACGGCACTGTCACGGAGAGGCGACTAACGGTGACCGCTCCCAAGAGCTTCTTCCATTAGAAATGGCCTAGTAGATTTTATTGACTGAAAAAGTTAGTGGATTCTAGTAGACATGTTTGTCCATATCCAAATTATTAATTAAAAATTTGCCCAAAAAATGATGATTGATAAATTCAAAGATATTGGACAATATATAACTACTTTTTTGCCTTTTCAATTTTTGGAAAGGAAAGTCAGCAAAATTGAGCATCTAGAAGTCTTGAATATGTGGGATGGTAAGAAATAGTATTATAAGAGTATTTGTTGCACTAGACTATCTCGGAATATATTAGATTTATGGACTAAGTTAGATTGATTTAGACTAGATTATGTTGAATTAATTTAATGAAGCATTTGGTTCAATATCAAACTAATAAGCAGAATAATAAAGATAATAAAAATTAATTTTCTTTTTCTTTTTTTTTTTTCTATTTTTTTTCATTTTGCTTTCCTTTTTCTAGAACACTCCAACTCTCTCGAAAGCTGTCCCGTAACCACGGTAAAAACGTGGGAGAAATTTAGTTTTGTAGAGCTTTAATGGTACCTTGGTTTTGGTTATTTCATTTTGAAATTGAGGCCATAAAATTTCCCTATCAAGTCTGGGTTTTGCAGGGCTTCAGACGAATTTAGTTTTGCAATTCTAATCTGAGGTTTGCAATTCGAATATGGGTTTCGCAATTTGAATTTGGGTTTTGCAATTCCAGCATACCTGAGTTTACGTTGCTGAAAAGTGATTTTTTTTTCTCAATATGACCTCTAATGGTTTCGTGACCTTCTGAAGAAGTGTTCAGATTATTCCACGCTTCAAGGTGAGCTATCATGGGTCGGATTTGAAGCAGATATGGATCCAAAGCGGGCTGGACAGATTCTAGACGAATTTTACTAGTCAATTTAGGATTAATTTTCCTAATTTATTTTAATTTATTTAGACAGATTCCAAATAAATTAGTTCCGTTGTGTCTTTTGTTTTTTTTTTCCTTCTTATCTCTTTTTTCTAGCTGGACCCACTATCTTCTCTCTAAATATTTTTTATCCCATTCTGCCGTTTGTCCCTTTTTTATATCCCTACAATATATTGAAAGCTAAACATAATTGTAACCTTTTAAATTAATAGCCTTCACCTCATAATTATTAATATCTTATAAGAAATAAAACCTTTTCATTTACTAGTATTCTTAAAAAAAAAAAAAAAAACTTTTCAATTTACTAGTTCTTCAAGAAAATTGGCCCTAAATATTGTAGTAAGGCTTTTAATCTTTGAAAGATAATTATTAATATCTTATAAGAAATAAAACCTTTTCATTTACTAGTATTCTTAAAAAAAAAAAAACTTTTCAATATACTAGTTCTTCAAGAACATTGGCCCTAAATATTGTAGTAAGGCTTTTAATCTTTGAAAGACAAAACAAGGCTGCCATATACACACAAAGTGCTCAACGAAGTGTTCATTGAAAAAATAGAGAAAATTTTTTACCTGCTACACACTATTTCTGTCTACAAAATCTTTAAATCTTTTATACTAGGACCACCTGAGGTTGGAATCCTGCATCTACCACTGATGACACATTATTAGAAACAAAAGAAAAATAATTAAAATAAACCATAAAATTTGAGAAGACGCAACAAATTAGTCTTCAAAGGTTTTCAAGGCCTTTAGCAAAGAGAGAAGCAAAAATTTCCATGTGACGTTTTTTCATTACCAACCCAATATCCAGACCTCCAGCACCATCTTTAGATTCCGAGATGGACATAGCTCCCGTCCCTTCTATGGAAACAATCTCGACCTTCTTCGGTCTTCCCCATCCGAAATCCGTATCATATATCTCAAAGCGAGGTGAACCGGCCGTCGAAAATATACTCTCATCAGTACCCACAGAGTACAATAATGGAATCCAATCCTCAGCCCCATTCAAAGCCCCATCGTCCAAACTTTTTACAGCCTCACTGATCGCATCGACCGCCACAACCAATCCCTCTCCTCCTAAGAGCGCTTTTGTTTCTGCAACTGCCATCCGAAGCACTAAGCAATTCCCAACATAGTTTGTAGGTATAGGAGGGTCTAACCGAGACCTAGCGTCCACAGTAAATCCCATCACTGCATTTTTGGCTTGCATTTCTTCTGCCTTGATTAAGCAAATCCATATGTACGCACATGTTAGACAGAACGTGGACAAATATTGAACCGATTGATGACCGTGTTGTTGTTTCTTCTCTTTCACCAACTACCTCAGTGCTTCTATATTTGCCCGTGTGAACACAAACGTGCCACGAATTGAACTCGGTACTAAAACTTTAAACTTGGAAGACATCAAGCTTCTGTTGTCGGGCCGGTCCATGTTTCGAAATTGGTTCGCGTAGATCTCTTCTAGGCCGGCGGGGTCTTTGATGACGCTTCTGTCTAAAAAAGGTTTGAGCTGTTCCGGCAACAAATTGGAATCTTCGTGTTTGCAAATGTGAGCCCATGTTTTCACAAACATGGTTGAGGTCTTGCCGTCTAGGATTGCATGGTGCATGGATGTTCCAATACAGAAGCCACGGTTAGGAAATATGGTGATCTGCAATGCAATGGCCGCGGCTTTTTCGTGAGACATGGGCATCTGGGGTATGAGAGGATGGTATTCTTTGGCTTCAATGTTGAAGCTGTTGGTTGAAACTATATGGTGGAAATCACAATCGGACTCGGCTATGGTGAGCAAAACCCCGTCTCCTCGGACGTAACGGAGAACAGGTTTAGGGGACTCTTTGGGCCATATGACGTTTCCGGCTAGAGGCAGAAATTGTTGGAGGGTGAGAGAGAGTGAGGTTTTGAGTTTCGGAATGAGCGTTGAATGGGTGCAGTTGGTGTCGGAGGAGTTAGGGTTATTGATTTCATAGAAGAAAAGGCGTTGGACGGGTGCAAATCTTAGCCAGAGCAAGTCGAACAAGGTTAGAGGAAGGGACTCAGGGATGGCTGATGAGTCCGGCGTGCTTGGTTGCGGTGCTACTTGGCAAACCTCAACCACTTTCACCGAGTTTAGATCTGCCATATTGCAAATGGAGGATGCAAAACTAGTTAATAGTTTATCATTCAGGTAAACAATGGCCTCCCTTTTTTAATGACGGCCAATGTGGTTTGTTGGATCATTTTTTATTCTTTTTGGTACTAAGCTAGAAGCAGCGGGATCCCCAAGGAGCCGCTTATACAGTGAATTTATGAGTATGACAGAAAGATACCATATTTAAGAAAGGATGTCATATTCATGCATCTCATTTTATTTCTTATACATATTTTTAATTTGTCATCAGATCAAATGAATTGAATAATACCAACGAATATGAATTATCAAAAGGTGTATGAGAAGTAAAATGAGGTGTGGGTAGCACCAGAAAACTCTGATAAAGTGAGACTCATACATGAGCATGGCTGATGTCCTTGCAGAGCTATTTTGCAAACCTCAATTTTTTTTTTTTTAACAAACGATATTATTTATACAAAATGAACTAGCAATAATATGATTTAAATTCATTTTTAACGAAAATCAAATTTAAAACCCCTCACTTACAAATAAAGAAGAACATCATGTTATTATAAATCTCAACCACTTTTAGTCTTGCAAATTGGTAATGGAGAATGTAAAACAAGTTAACATTTTATAATTGATGTAGATAATGTCCTATGGTTTGGTGAATGATTTTTTATTTTTTGGGACTATAAGTCTTGCAAGTTGTGAGCACCGTTATTAAATTCAAGCATGATAATGTGCGTCACATGCATGAACTGCTAAATTCCATTGACATCAAATTTAAGTATCACTCTATAAATATGTGGAGCATTTTTGTTCATCATCATAACTATGGTGTATATTTACTATACTCCTAATCATCTTTTACGTGTCATTTTATTTAATTCTGATTAATCTTTATATTAAATGCTACTTTTTTAATTTTGAAAGAAATTAATCAAGATTAAATGATAAAATACATGATAAATAATTATGTATATAATGAGCATATTCCATAATTTATGATGGTGAACAAAAATGCTTCCAAAAAAATAAGGCAAATTTGAGATTTTGTCAACCAATTTTTACGAGTGAGTATTTTTGCTCATATATTTAAATGTAGGGTATGCTTCCCACGCATCTTATAGCTTGCCATGTGTTCCAATGACTAATCAAAGTTAATTTTTTATTTAATTACTTTATTATAATTTTCAAACATATTTAAATTTTAAAACTAAACATAAAATAATTAAGAAAATTTAATACTGTGGGCCCCACCCCACTCCATCGCACCCTTCTTCCCCACTCATACGTCGTCTCCCCCACTATTTTTCCAACTACTGCTGCAATTAAAATTTTATCAGATTTAATCTTCGATACTTCGCTATTATTGTTCTTGCCGTTGCAGATCGGAGCCTGCAAATCCTAGAATTCGAAATTCACAGTCTATGAAGTTCGTTCACGAAATCGTAAGAGATTGATGGGGAAGCCAGCGAATCCATGGATGGGATGCAGAAGAACAAATGGTCGTTGCTGGTTTTGGCACTGTTACTGCTGCAATTAAAAATTTATCAGATTTAATTACTTTATTATTGTTCTTGCTGTTTCCACAGCCATGGTTTACTTCATGAGAACTGAGTTTGATTTGTGCGGGCTAACACTGGAAGTCGTTTCGGCGATGGAAGTGATAGAACCGCCGACATAGTCCACTCGCCGCTGGTCTAGCCGTCGGGATTCGCTGGTGGCGAATTTGAAGCTCTGTGGATTTGTTTTTATTTTATTTTTTGCTTTATTTCAGTGGGGAAGGAGGAGGAAGGAGGAAAGAGGAAAGAATGGGGGAAGACGGATGAGTGGGGAAGAAGGGTGGGAAGACCGATTGGTAGAGTGGGGTCCAATATTTAATTTTCTTAATATTTTATGTTTAGTTTTAAATTTTAAATATGTTTCAAAATTAAAATAAAGTAATTAATTTAAAAAAAAGTTAGTTAGTTAGTAGGACACATATTAAGCTATAAGATGAGTGATGAGCATATCCTATAATCAAGGGTGATGAGAAAAAATACTCACTTTTTATCAAGTGCAAATATCTTCTTATTTACGCTACACAAAATATAAAGAAATTTAATATATAAAGAAGAATTGTAGTGTAGAATTTCAATTTTCCAAATAGTGTAGTGTAGAATTTCAATTTTCCAAATAGTATCGTGTAAGTTCACACATATATGTGTTGATTTTAATATTAACTCACGTTTTTTCACATCATTCAGTGTGTGTTGTTTATGTCTTAAGCTTAAATGACCCCACATATGAAGGGAGTGTTTGGATGGCTGTGTTTAGAGCAATAGCATTAATAAATTAAATAATTAGTTGTAATGAAAAAATAAATCAATGAATATCGAATCCGCACGACAATGTATAAGCATAATTACTTTTTGCCATTTTAGTAAAATGCGTTGTAAAAATATTTGATATATTAGAGATGGAAACAAACAATTTATATAAATAACTATACATATAAAAATTAAACATTAATTGCATTACATTCGCATTATGTGATATGCATGTAGATAAAATTTATATATTAAATAATGTGCCATAACATGAATGAGCACGTTTATTAAAGCGGTAATTTGCGGCTTTCGTCATTTCCAGGCTGAGGGTATCAACCGATCTCCGACAGGATAGTTTCAAGAACACGGCTTCAAAGGTCTTCGAACCCTTTAGCAAATAGAGAAGCAAAAGCCTCCATACGTTGTTTTTTCAAAACAACCCCAATCTCAATACCACCATCGCCATCTTTGCTATCTGAGAAATAGATAGCCCCAGTCCTATCAATCGAAACGACTTCGCTCTTCCTTGGCCTTCCCCATCCAAAATTAGTATCATAAATCCTAAACAGGTGTGAACCAGCAACAAAAAAAAGTTGATCGGCCTGTGGTTGCATAATTTCCATCCAAGCCTCCGCCCCATTTAGAAGTCGATTTTTTAAACCTTCTAAAGCTTCACTGATTGCATTTACAGCCACAACCAGCCCGTCTTCTCCAAGTATGCCTTCGCTTTCTGCAACTGCTATGCGTGGGGCTATGCAGTTACCAAAATAGTTTTCAGATATTTGTGGGTCCAAGCGAGACCTACAATCCACACTAAAAGTCAATCGTATTTTTTCGGATTTTATTTCCTCTGTCTTGACTAAGCAAATCCATGCATACGCAGTTGTGACGCAAAACGTGGACAAATGAACCGATTGATGTTGTTGTTTCTTGTCTTTCACCAACTGCCTTATTGCTTCTATTTTTGCAGGTGTGAATTGGAAGCACCCTCGAACCGAGTTTGGTGGTGGAGATTGAAATTGGAAAGGCATCAAGCTTCGATTGTTGGGTCGCTCCAAATCCATATTTAGAAAGTGGTTCGAATAAATTAAGTCGATCCTGGTCGGGTCAGGGACCCTTCGGTCGTAAAATGGTTTGAGCTGGTCTGGTACCGAATCGGATTCGTGTTTACAAATGTAAGCCCATGATTTCAAAAACAAGGTTGCTATCTTGCCGTCTAGGGCAGCATGGTGCGCGGATGTTCCAATAGAAAAGCCGTGGTTTGGGAAGAGAGTGATTTGCAGTGCAAGTGCTGCAGCTTTTTCGTGACACACTTCCAATGGAGGCACGAGAGGATGGTATTCTTTGGCTTCAATGTTAATGTTGTTGCTTAAAACTAGACGGTGGAAATCAGCATCGGACTCAGCTACAGCGACCGAAACGGCGTCCCCTCGGTGGTAACTGAGGATTGGTTTAGGGGAGTCTTGGGGCCAAATGATGTTTCCTGCTAAAGGTGGAAAGTGGTTGAGGGTAAGAGACAACGAGGTTTTGAGCTTTGGAAGTATAAAATCGAAGGAGGAGGTATTTTTTGAGGAAGGCAATATTTCGTAGAAGTAAAGGCATTGGACAGGTGGAAACTTTAACCAAAGTATGTCGAAGAAAGTTAGAGGAAGGGAAAACTCTTGATCTGCATGTTGTGGAGCAACTCTGCAAATTTCAACTAATTTCGTTGATTTGTTTGGGTCTGCCATTGCTGTTGGGGGATGGATGGTGTAAAGCTTGATGAATCGTTTAATATATATAATAAAAGAAACCTGTTTTATTTTTATTAATAAAAAAAAATGTTTTATAATAAATAAAGAGTTACAATATTCTCTACCACAAGTCCCACCCAATTTCTTTGATAAGTATTGTTAGAGGGACTAAATTTATAGACTAAATTTTAGAAACTAAAAGACATGGAAGTTGATGATTGATTTATTACTTAAACGTTGATAAATGTGTTTATTTCTATTGATAACACATTATTTAGTTTGCAAATTTAGTCTCCTCACGTTACTTATTCTTTGAGTGTCATGAGTCATGATATAATATTATTTTTTCAAAAATAAAAAAAAAAGGATAAAATTGGACAATGTTGTATGTGGCACAACTGAAACAACACGTTCATATTTCATCTTTGTGTTTTTTATAGAAAACTTTAACGAAAAATCATAGTCCTGTTCACAACAAAAAATTACATTTTTACACTAAATCTTGATATTATTCACTTTAACCTTTATTTTGTCCTTATCGTTAAACTCAAAGATTTTCAAGCTTTTTTCATTAGTTTTGATGTTAAATTTCATATAATATCTTTAAAATATTTTAATTTCATATATTTATTTATTATTTTGTTCAACTTCAATAACCGTTAGTTAATCTGTTAATTAACAATTAAAATATGATGTGGAAAGCGCAGCCTACATTTTGCAAGTTGTGGAGCAACTCTGCAAATTTCAACTAATTTGATTGCAAATTTCAACTAATTTGATTGATTTATTTGGGTCTGCCATTGCTGTTAGGGGATGGATGGTGTGGCCCTCGCCGGATCTTCCAATCACATTCGTTCATCGTATATCATGCGGTCAGAAATTATTGTAAATTTTTTTATTTAAAATTGAAAATGAACAGTACCTGATAAAAACTGATCACATGATGTACAATGAACGGATGTGATTCAACGAGAATCCTTTCTCGGTGTAAAGCTTGATGGATCGTCTAATATATATACTAGCATTTACCTACACATTTTGTATGTATGAACATATTTTTTTTAAATGAGAAGGAGAGAGGGAGAGAGAGAGAGAGAGAACGTGGGGAGGGGGAGTAGAAGGTTTTTGTTTTGGGTTTTTTTTTTTAAATGTTGGAGGTATTTTAATATCATCTGTGAAATTACATTATTGGCTATCGTTTTTTTTTGTGTGTGATAGAAGACTAAATTATATTTTCATCATCTTTTAATTGACAAAGAGGATTTCATTAATTAGTAAATATATATATAACCTATTTTTATTTTTATTAATAAAAAATGTTTTATAATCAATAAACAGTTGAAACATTGTCTATCACAAGTCACACCCAACTTCTCTCAGTGTCATGAGATATGATATAGTACTATTTAAAAAAAAAACGTAAACATGGTTTAAATAGGACAGTGTTGTATATGGCACAACTGAAACAACACGTTCATATTTCATCTCTGCGTTTTTATCACATACTGTATTTGAATTGTTTTTCAATCCAACGCATAATTTGTATTTATGTGCTTCATATGCGTTTGGAGTTTGCTTCTAAAAATATAGCTATACGTACTGCTCACGTCAATTTCACGTGCCATTCATTTGATAAGAAATAAAAAGAAGGATCAAGAATTCGAGTGGCTATTTAAAAATTGCCTTATGAATTAAAAATATTTAAATAATGAAAAGAAAAAAAAGAAGATGGGTGGGTGATCTCTTCATCCCGTGCATAACCATTTTAAAATTAGATTTTTAAAATGAAACAAGTTCATGTTTCATTTTCTTTTGTGTTTAATTGAAATAAAAAGGTTTACAATTTTTTAATACTGTGGGCCCCACCCCACTCCATCGCACCCTTATTCCCCACTCATCCGTCTCTCCCACTATTTTTTCAACTACTGCTGCAATTAAAAATTTATCAGATTTAATCTTCGACACTTCGCTGTTATTGTTCTTGCCGTTGCAGATCGGAGCCTGCAAATCCTAGAATTCGAAACTCACAGTATATGAAGTTCATTCATGAAATCGTAAAAGATTGATGGGGAAGCCATCGAATCCATGGATGGGATGCAGAAGAACAAATGGTTGTTGCTGGTTTTCGCACTGTTACTGCTGCAATAAAGAATTTATCAGATTTAATTAGTTTATTATTATTCTTGTTGTTTCCACAACCATGGTTTTCTTCATATGAACTGAGTTTGATTTGTGCAGGCGAACACTAGAAGACGTTTCGGCGATGGAAGTGATAGAATTGCCGACATAGTCCACTCGCCGCTGGTCTAGCCGTCGGGATTGGCTGGTGGCGAATTTGAAGCTCGTGGATTTGTTTTTATTTTATCTTTTGCTTTATTTCAGTGGGGAAGGAGGAGGAAGGAGGAAAGAGGGAAGAATGGGGGAAGACGGATGAGTGGGGAACAAGGGTGAGAACATGGGTTGGTAGAGTGGGGCCCAATATTGAATTTTCTTAATATGTTATGTTTAGTTTTAAATTTTAAGGTAAATCTCTGTTTACTACTCTCATGTTTGGTGGTATTCAACATTTAGTACATCAAGTTTTTTTTGTCCCAGAGTCATACCTAAAGTGTAAATTTTGGAACAATATCATACATCCATTAGTTAAACTGTTAAATTTTCCGTTAACTGTGACGTGGCGCTCACATGGATAATGATTGGGGCCACGTTGATTTTATTTTTAATTTTTAGAGAAGGGTTCAAAATAAGATTTCCCACCCAAATTTTTTTTCCCACAACCATGTCTTACATTGTTTCCCGCCAAAATTTTTTGAAAAAAAAAAAGGGGAAAAAACCACAACTTTCTATTCAAAATCTGCAAGTTCAATTCCTAACAAACTTTGAATTCTAAATCTGCAAATTCATCATTTAAACTACCAACAAAGTTCAATTGTCAACAACTTTCAATTCACAACAAAGTTCAATATACACCCTATAATTCACACAAAAGTATCAAAGGACCACAACTTTTACAACTAATGGGTCAAGGTGTTCTTCCAAAACCACTAAAGATCTGTCCAAAAAATGTCCAAAACACTAATGGGTCAACTTTAACAACTAATTGAACTCTGTCCAAAACACTAAAGATCTATCGGAAAGTTGTTTCCAAAAAAACTAAGGGCAAATTCAACTATAACAAAATGAACCCTTAAACAACCTAAAGCATTAAAGTAGCATCTTGGAACATTCCTACTCCTTTTCTGACCTTTTGCAGTAGACTTTGAAGTGGTTTGAGAGGCTTGAGTTGGTTGAGATAAAGGTTGTTGAGCTTCCTGAGTGCATGGTTGCAATGACTTAGTGGGTTGTGATGCCTTTGATGTTGATGCCTAAAGAATGAACTCATATAGCATTAACACTGACATATACTACACTTCACAAATAACAAATTCACTTAAGAAATGAAAAATCAACAAAAAATATCAAAATTATACCTCATTTTTCTTGTTTTTTTCTTTCTTTTCTAGCAGCTGGAAGAAGATGAGTGGTAGGGCATCTGGCCTTGTTGTGTCCCGAGGCCTTGCAAACACTACACTTCACACTTTTTTGCCATCTCTTGCTTAACTTGAATTCATTTTCATCACCCTCCTTATGTTTCCTCTTTTTTGGTCTCCCCGATTACCTTTTAAAAGTTGGAGGAAGAATGCATTTGTTTTCAGATGGCTCCCAAAATTTCATGCATTGGACTGGTTGAATCAAGTTTTTGTAAGCTTCAAAGTATTTCTCCTTTTTGTACCAAGAGGAAACAAATTCCTCAGGCTGTCTCCTTGCATAATAGATAGTCGAGCAACTATGTATGCAAGGAAAGCCTGTCAAATCCCATCTTCTACATGAGCAAGTGCACCCATTCAAATCCACCACAAATATATTGCCTCTACCTTCATCCACTTCAAAATTTTCTTCTCCAGACCATATAGCTATAGTGTGTGAGCTTTTCAATTTGTACTCCTCCAACTTCTTCTAGATTTTTGGGCAGATAACTCCTTTATCCTTCCTCATTGCATCTCTTCTCAACCATATCCTCTTAATCAATAAAACTTTTATAGTTTCCTGCACGGTAATAATAGACTTGTCCCTAGACGTTGAAGCTCTCACAGAGGTTGTTTAAGAGAACGTCACACTGAGTGTGTGTCTCAAAGTGTGACCTACTTCAATGCAAGGCTGGCCACTTCTCCAACCATTTATAAGCTTCTTCATTCAGCCTATTCACATCAGCCATACTTTCTCTAAAATCAACGATAGTTATTGCCTTGACAGTATTCCATAAGGCATCCTTTAATTATTTCCCTTTAAACCCATATGCCTTATAGTTGGTGTATAAGTGCCTAACATAGAACCGATGATTACAATTAGGCAGCACATTCTCAAAAGCTGGTATTAAACCCTTTTGTTTGTCAGAAATGAAAGTCCAAGCATGCTGGTTCACAATTCCTAAGTCAGCAACTAGTAGTTCTAGAAACCAAACCCAAATGTCTTTGTTCTCGAGCTCTAATATAGCATATGCAATAACCCAAGTTTGGTTATTTGCATCCATTCCCACTGCTTACAGTAACTGGCCCTTGAAAACTCCCTTTAAGTGACAACCATCCAACCCTACAAACTGCCTTCATCCATTCTTAAATCCATTTTTGCAAGGCCCCAAACAAATATAAATCCTCTGAAATATCACATGAGCATCATCATAGGGCAGCACCTTCATCTGAACTGTACTACCAAGGTTTGTCCTCCTAAGCTCATCACAGTACTCCTACAACTTTGTGTACTGATCCATATTACTCTCCTCAAGGATTTTCAAACATTGTGCTCTCACTCTATAGGCTGTCTTGAGGTAGATCTCAACCATTCTTTCCTCATAACTGTCTCCATAAATGTAGTGATGGGCATGCTTAGGTTGAGTCTGAACTTGTCCACATACCTCTTCACAAGCCATGCCACTTTGTAGTTAGGATTTTCCCTCCAAATCTTCGGACATTCATGTTTCCCAACATAGGTTTTCACTTGCATTGAATCTTCATTGTACATCCTAGAAGCATACAATTTCCATGGACAGTTTTTCTCACACCTTGCACTAATCTTCCATTTCTCATTCCTTTTTAGCTTAATAGAAGATGCACCATGCTTAATGGAGTGAGACCATACTGCATCTATTAACTATGCAGCATCTCTGAACTTCAATCCCTTTTCAAACTTTGGATCATCCCTGTTGGTTTCTTCTTTAAATTCAAGGTAGTTGACCTTCTCATCACATTCTGAACCTGAATGGTCAACACTTTGCATACCATCTAAGTCTTGTCTCTCATCATCAAAAGGAACGTCTTCTACATCCCTTGCATCAATAACGTTGTCTAGATATTAGTTCCCAACCTCTTCACCCATTTCAGCATCTCCAACAACACTTTCTACAGTCGTATCATCTACTGCACGACGATCATTATCTTTTAAACTATAGTCATTATCCACAAACTCACTATTTGTAGTGTCATCATCTGCATTTACTGCCACAAACAATGCATATTTGTTAAAAACCTAAACTTTGCAAGAATAATTGAATACTGAAATTAAAATTGTAAAACTAAATGTTTCAAATTTTTTACCTTTATTAGCTTCTACTTCGGTCCCATCTTCAGTCTTATTAACTTCTTAAGCTTCGTGACCTTTTTCATCACCTTCATTATCAACATTGAGAGGACCATTTTCAGCCTCATCTCCACTTCCTTGTCCTCCCTCAGTTGTTTCAGCCTCATGTTCATCATCACCATTGTAGGCTATGTCATTCAAAAGACATAGCTATTTTTCTAAGTCATCTGCACCCCCTTTTGCTCTACCCTTCTTCAGTTTTGATCCACTTCCCTTTGTAATCAAAATCGCCACCCTTGATTCCTCATTATCTTCTATAATAACACCTTTTTTTTTAATATGGCACTCTCATCTAGATTCATCAAAAGCTTAGGTTTCAAGGCAGCTTGCTTCGGACTTAGATGTTCTAGGTACATTTCTATTTCCCTAACCCCTGGAACATACTTGCACATTTCAGCCACATCTTGGTCATGTTCAATAAGCCTTAATCCCTCCCAATAAGACATCCCAGGAATCCTATAGTGATACAACATAAACCCATCATATCCTAACTCCTTAACCATTTCATCAATCTCGAAAAAAGACATGAAGTCTTTGTCTACGTAATCAAATCAAGCCTCAAATCCTCCCGTATATGCACTTTCAAACCACTTCCCACCGTGGTTAATTTTAAGGCTAAATAATTCGGGCATGCCTGCAAAGTCAATGAGAAAGGTGAAACAACATAAAATCCTAGAGGCACATGGGGAAAAAGGTGAAAACACTAGTATGACCATGAGGAAAAAAGGTGAAAACAAAACTATGGGGACCATGAATACTGTTCCACCTTTTTTCCTGAAACCATAGAAAAAAGGTGAAAACAAAACCATGTGGACCACGATTGAAGACAAAACCACATGCACAACCCATTACAAAACACAATTCCAGAAACCATAGAAAGAAAAAAAAGGGATTGGAACTCACATATCCCTAATCCCTAAAATTCAAAATTGAAAAATCGAAAAACCTAAACCCCATATTATCTACACTTTGAAAAAGGTAGGTTACTTACAATAAAGTGGTGTTTCACCCACTTCAATCCTCATTTTATCCCACCTCATCACTAGTGATGGCTTCACAACAATCTTTCCCAAAAACGTGTGCACAATGTACGACATTGTGCGAGGTGGAGCGACGGTGAGGTCGAGTGACGGCCCGTTGGTAGGGTTTCAGACAAAGATGGGGGGTCGCGATTTTCTGGAGGAGTTGAGGGGTCGCGAATTTTGAATTTTGAAATATTTTTTTTTTTACTGAAACCCCTTCTCTAAAAAAATGTATATATCCACGTGGACCCACGTGGCGCCCAATCATTGTCCACGTTGGTGCCATATCACAGTTAAAAGAAGACTTAATAGTTTGACTAACGGATGTATAAGACTGTCCCAAAATTTACACTTTAGGTATGACTCTGGGACGAAACAAACTTGATGTACTAAATGTTGAAAACCACAAAATATGATGGTAGTAAACAGAGATTTACCCTAAATTTTAAATATGTTTCAAAATTAAAATAAATAAATAAATTAAAAAGTTAACTTTAGTTAGTTAGTGAGACACATATCAAGTTATAAGTTGGGTGGTGAGCATATTCTATAATTAAGAGTGGTCAGCAAAAATGATCATTTTTTATGAAGTGCAAATATCTTCTTATTTACACTACACAAAATATAAAGAAATTTAATATATAAAGAAGAATTGTAGTGTAGAATTTCAATTTTCCAAATAGTATCGTGTAAGCTCACTCACGTGTTGATTTTAATATGAACTTATGTTTTTTTACGTCATTCAACATGCGTTGTTTATGTCTTAAGCTTAAATGACCCCACATATGAGGGGTGTGTTTGGAGGGGTGCGTTTAGAGTGATAACATTATTGAATTAAATAATTAGTTGTTATGGAGAAATGAATCAAAGAAGATCAGATCGGCATGAAAATGTATAAATATAATTACTTTCTGCCACTTTAGTAAAATGTAATTTTTAAAAATATTTGATATATTGGAGATGGAAACAAACAATTTATTAAACATTAATTGCATTACATTCGCATTATGTGATATGCTTCTAAAAGGATAATGCTAGAAAGACTAAAATTGTAGAAAAATTTTATAAAGTAAATGATGTGTCATAGTATGAATGATCACGTTTATTAAAGACAATCTGCGGCTTTCGTCTTTTCCAGGCTGAGGGTATTATCCGATATCCGACGGGATAGTTTCAAAAACATGGCTTCAAAGGTCTTCGATTCCTTTAGCAAATAAAGAAGCAAAAACCTCCATACATTGTTTTTTCAAAACAACCCCAATCTCGATACTACCATCGCCATCTTTGCTATCTGAGAAAGAGATAGCCCCGGTCCTATCAATCGTAACGACTTCGCTCTTCCTTGGCCTTCCCCATCCAAAATCAGTATCATAAATCCTAAACCGGTGTGAACCAGCAACAGAAAAAAAGTTTATCGGCTTGTGGTTGCATAATTTCCATCCAAGCCTCCGCCCCATTCAGAAGTCGATTATTTAAACCTTCTAGGGCTTCACTGATTGCATTTACAGCCATAACCAGCCCGTCTTCTCCAAGTATGCCTTCGCTTTCTGCAACTGCTATGCGTGGGGCTATGCAGTTTCCAAAATAGTTTTCAGATATTTGTGGGTCCAATCGAGACCTACAATCCACACTAAAAATCAATCGTATTTTTTCAGATTTGAATTCCTCTGCCTTGACTAAGCAAATCCATGCATACGCAGTTGCGACGCAAAACGTGGACAAATGAACCGATTGATGTTGTTGTTTCTTCTCTTTCACCAACTGCCTTATTGCTTCAATTTTGGTTGGTGTGAACTGGAAGCACCCTCGAACCGAGTCTGGTTGTGGTGCTTTAAATTGGAAAGGCATCAAGCTACGATTGTTGGGTCCCTCCAAATCCATATTTAGAAAGTGGTTCGAATAAATTAAGTCGATCCTGGTCGGGTCAGGGATGACCCTTCGGTCGTAAAATGGTTTGAGCTGGTCTGGTACCAAATCGGATTCGTGTTTACATATGTAAGCCCATGATTTCACAAACATGGTTGACATCTTGCCGTCTAGGGCAGCATGGTGCACGGATGTTCCAATAGAAAAGCCGTTGTTTGGGAAGAGAGTGATTTGCAACGCAAGTGCTGCGGCTTTTTCGTGACAAACTTCCAATCGGGGCACGAGAGGATGGTATTCTTTGGCTTCAATGTTAAAGCTGTTGCTTGAAACTAGGTGGTGGAAATCAGCATCGGACTCAGCTACAGTGACCGAAACGGCGTCCCCTCGGAGGTAACTGAGGATTGGTTTAGGGGAGTCTTGGGGCCAAGTGATGTTTCCTGCTAAAGGTGGAAAGTGGTGGAGGGTAAGAGATAACGATGTTTTGAGCTTTGGAAGTATAGAATCGAAGAAGAATGTGTTTTTTGAGGAAGACAATATTTCGTAGAAGTAAAGGCGTTGGATGGGTGGAAACTTTAACCAAATTATGTCGAAGAAAGTTAGAGGAAGAGAGAACTCTTGATCTGCATGTTGTGGAGCAACTCTGCAAATTTCAACTATTTTGACTGAGTTATTTGGGTCTGCCATTGCTGTTGGGGGATGGATGTAAATTTTGATGGATCGTCTAATATATAATAAAAAAACCTATTTTTATTTTTATTAATAAAAAATGTTTTATAATCAATAAATAGTTGAAACATTGTCTACCACAAGTCCCAGCTAACTTCTTGGGGTGTCATGATATACTGTTATTTTGTTAAAAGTACACATGGTGTAAATAGGACAGTGTTGTATGTGGCACAACTGAAACAACACGTTCATATTTCATCTTTGCGTTTTGATCACATACTGTTCTCTAAATTGTTTTTTTTCCAACGTATAATTTGTATCCATTCCTTCGAATGAGCTTTTATGATTTTAATAAATTATTTTAAAATTCTAATTGAATAAATCTTGAATTTTAAAAAATTATTTAAAATTTTAATTGAATACTTCTAGATTTATTAAAAAAATTAAAATCTTTGAAAACCCTAATTGAATACACCCCTTAGATTTTTAAAATGAAACAAGTTCATGTTTCATTTTCTTTTTTGTTTAATTGAATAAAAAAAAGAAGTTTACAATTGCAACTTTGCAAAGATAAAATTAGGATAACTTATGTTTTATCTCCTCGTGTTTTAATGCAATTACAATCTTACGTAACATTTTAAAAATATTTTAACCTTATATATTTACTTATTATTTTGTTCAGTTTCATATCACAGCTAGTTAATTTACTAAATTAACGGTTAAATGATAATATGACAACCGCTAAACTCATATTTTTCTGATTTAAATTTTAAATTTGTGCCGTGGTTAATTCATTTAATTATTTTATCTATAAGAAAAACCCCAAATAATTAAGAAAACCTTACGCAAGATCTTCGTCTTAGCAAGAACCCAGTCCCCAACCCATCCATCGGCTCAATGCAGTCTCAGTGCATGTTTGTTTTCTCTGCAACCATAGCCCAACACAGAAACATAATGATCAACAGAAATAACCCATTTGAGCTACTCCACATCGTCTCTTCTCTTCTCTCTCTGAGGCTTTTAAATCCTAGAAAATACATTCCAGAAATCCGAGGGCAATGGAATCAATGGTTAAAGACATTGTAAGAAGTTACAATTACATCTAAACCTAAGGGTATAAAATATAATTTGCTCGTAAAATTAATATGGAAGAAGATAATACCGAATATATTGCTGAGAGAAAAGGAAATCTGGGTTTTCATTCTCATGTCCCAATTGCTTTATAATCAATAATAATTAATATTTCAAAGGCCTTCGAGCCCTTTAGCAAATAGAGAAGCAAGGTAATTCTATTCTCCGTGAGAGTCCTCCGCTGTGAGTGTCTTTCTCTCCTCCGTGGGAGTCCGTAAGGTTTGCCGTCTGCTTTCAAACCAACCCAACTACCCAATTTCACTGTCACCGCACCCCCTGCAACATACCGACTCAATTAAGTTTTCACCATACCCCCTGCATCCTACCCACCCCCAATTAATTGCAGGATAGCCCTTCTATATCTGAATTCCGTGATTTGACTGAATCGATGGGGGGTAGGCGGCATCTTAACCACCTAAAAGACAAATGGGTAGAGAAAGCTTTGAATACCTCCGGATCTGGAATCCAGGGGGCAGTAAATGGTGAGGACCAACCCCACCTACTCACTACAAGGGTGTTTAGTGTAACAATGAGTTAAATTTCGATTAAGGTGTATTGAACCGTTTACTAATTTTGGAGGAAACAAAAGTATGGTTGGGCCCACACGAAAGAAGGAGTCCAACTCCCCATATTAAAGGGATTGAACTTCCTATATGGATGTGGTATTTGAGTTCCGGAAGAGTGAGGTAATGGAAATGCATTTGTCCTGCCTATTATGATGTATGCTTATTTTTTATAATTTCAAGTCTACCACTCAACTCACTGCTCTCCACCGCTCCTTGCGCACTCTCCCTTCATGCGGCAAATGGCACACCTCACCTTCCAGTTCCACCTCCCCATGGTCCTTCTCTACCCAACCTATCAACTTACCCATGTGCGACCTTGACTACCCAACCCACCAGCTCAAGAACCCTATCCACATATCTTGAAACCGAAATAAAAAATCAATCACCCAAACCCTTGAAAATAAACAATTCAAACCACACCGAAACCCACAGTAGCCGGGAAGCAACCACTCAAAAACCCAAAAAATTATTAAATACTTTGCAGGGAGAAGAGGTGGTGGCTATGGGGTAGGGTGAGTGGGGAAGATGGAGGTGAGGGCAGGGTTAAAAGATACGAAAAATTGCAGAGAGAGAGGAGTGTTCTATTCAACCGGGTTTGAATAAGGGCATTATTGATACCACGGGTCTCCAGAATCGTGGCTCTGGTGAAGAGAACTGGTACTTCCAAAGGAAGTAGGGAATGATGAGATTTGCAGAGATTTTCTAATAAATTTGTATACAAATTTAAATTTTTTTTAAGAAGGGCATTATAGTAATCACATTGATTTTCATTCCGATTCAGGTGAATTAGTAAACAACTTATACGAATTTAGTACTATTTTTATTCCAATTCCAGAATATTTAAGTAAACAACTTCTACATAAATCTGATTCTAATTTCTCCTTATTTCAATTCCTCATCAATTCAATTCCTCCTCAATTCAGTTCTTCTTGTTTTGATTCCGGTTACGTAAACGGGTCATAAGAGTAATGAAGAGGAAGAACGGCCAACTACCGACAACAATATCATTAATGGCGAGAAGTGTGAAATCCCATTCCTGGATTTCACTGTGGTAATCTACGTATTTGTATTATTGAGATTTTATATAATTTTTCGGGAATTTATAATAATTGAGGTTTTAATTAAACTAGTTATGAGGGTTGAAGTTTCGAAATTAATTATTTAAATTCCGTAGACCTTTCGAGGGCATAATTTATATTTTTGAATAGAGCTCGATCTCACGAACGCGTAGGCGAAAACCGTTCGTGAAATGGAGTTATAACGAAGAAATTAGAGATGTTTTAGTTGTTGATAAATAAATAAATAAATGTTTAGAATCTGCCAAGTGGCAACAAGGAGAGAGTGCAGGAAAGAAAAGAACGGGAGCAACCCAATCAAAAAAGGGAGCAAGGAGGGAAAGAAGAAAGGAAGAAAGGGGGAAAACGGGTTGACCCGCATTCCCCATCGAACCTGCATGATTTTCCGACCATTTTTCGTCGGTTTTCCGGCAATCCATACCCCATCATCACCTGCAAACACCATCCCGCTTCTTCTCCTTCATTGATCATCAAATATTCGACGGGATTAGGCCCGTTTTGGGATGTACGGTGGCGACAGCACCATGAGGTGCTTGGTGATAATTCGCCAATTTTGAATGAAATTTTGTCAACTTCCACCACCCTTAGACTCCCCATGAGCCCTGGAACAAAGCCCAATCATCTATAGGGGCGGTGAAACACCGAGGAATAAGAATCGAAGCTCACCCATTCTAGGGTTGCTGGCGGGTTTGAGTGGAATTGGTGACTTTCCCGCCCAAATTGGCATTTTTCATAGGTATGAAACTTTCTATACTCATTGAAATCTTCATTTTTGCAAAATTTGGTAATTTTTAGAAATAGTTGAATTTTCCGACGAGTCGAGTCGGCCAACCGCCACCCTCGGCGGCTCGAGCTGCAGCGCGTGGTCAGTGGGCTGACAATGTCTTTCTAAGTCCAATTAGATGCATTGAATTCATAATTGAAATCCGTATGAAGTGATTTGATTGTTTGAACTTAGTTTCATTATGATACATCACTTGATCAAAATTTGAATCGATGATTCGACCGGTGGATTGTCACTAAACTTTAATGAGTTATGGAACATAATATTTGAGGATAGCTAGAACTGACGGATCAAGAATCCGACATACGGATCTTTCCGAATTGGATTTCTAAGTTAGTAAAATTAATTGTTGAACGCCTCTTGATTTGGCAATTGACGAAGATCCGTCCGTTGGATCATACTGAAATTTTAGTATGTGGTTCTAGAAGTGTAGTGTGTATTTTCGGAAGTGACAGATCCAAAATATGATAGGCAAATCTTCCGGTTTAGATTTCTAGGGTTGTGAATGCTACTATCGACCTTGATCGACGATTGGCTCTTTAGTCAACTAGTCCAAGTTCTTGTAGTGTGTCAGCTATCGTAGAGTGTGGTTGAGATTTCATGGAACTTGATGGGCTAATTGTGGTGGCGTGTCTTTCTCGCTTGACGCATGTCTCGAACCGTTTATAAAGTTAAAATTAGTATTATTAGAGGCTCCGTGAGGCTTTGCGGCTTATCTCGGTGAGTTACTTTAATATATGTGATATGGTGATTACCCGATTCTTTATATTAATATCCTCTGTGGATATGACATGGTTTTATAAATGTATTTTCTGTTAAAATGTGATTATTTTATGATTGGCCATCGATCTATTTTCATTAAATGTGATTTTTATATATTTAGCCATAGACCTATGTTTATGAAACATGATTTGGCTTGTGTATTGTTGATGGTTGTGATATATGTGTGTTTAATTATCTCTTTTTAGCAATGTGAATGATAAGTATGATAAATGCTATGACTATGTGATCTTAGAATCCTATTAGAAGTGATGTATTAGTTAGTGGCCATGAGAAGTTGATGGTGTAGTGACTATGTTGTAACCCATAGGGGTTGAATTGTGGGTAGGTTGTGTGTTGAATTTCCTGCACCATGTAGCAGTGGTACATGGATGATCCTGCTTGGTTAATCCGCATTGGGGGACCATACTATATGTGGATTGAGCTTGGTTAATCCGCGTTGGGCAATCCTTATGACCATTTATACTTAGGGGTGATCATGCTTGATTAATCCGCGTTGGGTGATCACTGCCTAATAATTATGTAGGTGTGACTCTGCTTGGTTAATTCACATTAGGGGGTCACTACCTACTTGATTATCTTGACCCTGCTTGGTTAATCCCCATTGGGGGGTGACTAGTGGTCCTGCTTGGTTAATCCGCTTTAAGGGACCATAATATATATGGATCGCACTTGGTTAAT